TCATCTCGCTGACGGTGGATGACTCTGACAGCGAGGAGAAGGACCGGAAGAAGCCGGCGCTCCCCGCCGACTCGGAGATCAGCGACTCCTGCTGCGGCGTCAACGCCGCCATCCCACCTCTGACCTGGAGGAAACCCTAATACACGCTTCCTCTGAGGAAGAACAATGCAGAGCTTCCACACGTCTAAAATCATGTCTCTGTGATTTCTGTCACATTTTAAGTCTCCAGTGTGATTTTTACTGATCGTAAAGTCAGGCCAACCTGGCAGCCGGAGATTCAGAGCCAAGCGTGGAGGTTTTTACTGCTTTGAGGAAGAAGAGCTTCTCCTTACTGATGAACCTGTAGTTTCTTTGCAATATTAGTTATAGTATATGAAGTCATTTTAATTTAAAAAGCAGCAATAGTAATAGAGTGTGTGCGAGTGCTGCCCTCACATGGTTACCAGCTGTAACTGCACATCTGGAGGTCAAAACCGCACTTTAAAGAAAAGATGAGATGCCTGTGAGCTACATTATTGTATTTGCACACCGAGCTCACCAAAACTGTTGTTTGTAAAATGTCTCTAACGCTGCAGGATTAAAAGGCTGTAATGCAGAAAGAAAGCAGTTTGCACAGCTCACTGTTCCAGCTCCATATTAAAGTGCAGTGGTTTTATATTACACAGGCATTAGCAGCAGCTTCAAAATGTTAAAGCTCACGTTTAATTTGATTCTTTGTAACTGTAGTCAAGACAAAAATCCAGTGAAAGACCAGCTCGCCTTAAACCGATTTCCAGGACTTTTTTTTGGGGGGGGGCATTTTGAAGGTTTAACCTTCACAATATTTACCTTACAGAAATCTTACATAAGTTTATTGATATGTACTTCTTCTTGAATTTGAAGTTTATTAAAAGCTCTGCTCCTGGTTTGTCTGTAAAAACTGATCCTTGCTACAGTTTGGAGTTAAAATACTTCATTTTCCTCTCGGCGTAACATCAGCCGTGATATTTGAACAGATTTTGATACTGTGTAGTGATATACATGTAGTAATATAGATAATTTGGGGGTTTTGTAAGCTTTTGTACAGTTGTGGTTTCAGACCTCTCTCTCGCCTCCAGATCCATCTCAGTTTGAAAACATCAAAACGGTGCAAACAGGATCGGTTTGACAGTAAATGCCATTTAGATTTCTCACATTTTCTACAGATGATGTGATGCTAAAAGGTAAACTCTTATATTATGACAGTAATACTGTTTTTAAAAACCAGGTTAAATCATAGTTAAACTGACTTATTGTGGAAATGCCATTTTTAAACCTCGGTTTTTAAGTTAAATAATGTGGCAAAATGTACATTTCCACGTATTTTGGTGTCTGTGTTAAGATTCTATCTGGAATTAGTTCAGTATTTTTGGGATAACGTTAAAATGGACCGAAACAAATGCTCACATGAAACATGTTTTTAAATCAGGGCGTCCACGTAATCCCCGCAGGACTAAAGTTTAGACTGACAGTTTTTTTTTTCTACTCGTGGATCTGTATGATGTCATAGAGAGAGGATATCCTGATATCTCCTACAGAAGCCTATCACACAGTTCACAGTTTAACTTGTATGTCTTTTTATGAGGGGCAGCCAATCAGAAGACGGTTGGCTAATAGGGGGAGGAGCTACAAGAGACAAATAAGGATTATTATCAACTGAATTATGCAGAGCTACTCTGACATAGCCCAAGAATAACAAATACAGAGCTGGAAATGATTGAAAAAGGCCCCCTTTAATCTTACACTTTATGTTATTTATTCTTAATACTGTTAATTAGCAAGGCAATAATAGGTGTAATACAAATGTTATTTTTGCCTTTGATTTTCTGGGATCGGGAGGTATTTTGTCTTAAAGATGAAGATGCCACATTAGGTGGGACATACATGAGGATCAGTCACTCTGGTTTATTTGTTTATCTGTGTACAGTTTGTAAAGGACAAACACTGTAATTAATGTACATACTGCTGCTGGAAGCTTCATGGTGTAAATTTGGCTGAAACGATTCATATTTTTTACTTTATTTTTGTGGGTTTTTGTGGCCTTGCTGTTGCTCTCAGCTAAATCAGACCTAATGTTAGTGTCTCAGCAATAAAGCCTGCATCGGTGTAAAGTAAGAAAAGTTGAGCAAAAAGGCCTCCAGATGTGATTCAAAGCAAAAAGAAACTAACGTGTACAGGATGCTGCAGGAAAAGAGTCCTCATCACGACTTTAAATATGAGCGTGCTTCTGTCTTTGCTGATGCTTTGAATGTTTTCACTCCTTCAAATGTCATCACATCTTTGATTACTTGAATGTCTGCTTGTTAAGTAACCGGCCATATTCACCAGAGAAAAAACAGACCCATTAAAGGAACAGCCTGACCTCCAGTTTTCTTCACTGAGCACATCAAAAACATCCAATTTAAAATCTTTGTTCTTTTATGTGATCTCAGTGCAGGGAGAGAAATGGGCAAAGAGTCATTTTGTTCCTTTAATGATGAGAAAACAAAGCAACAAACTGCTATCGTTCAAAGCAAAGCTATCACTCACCATAGGAAACAGTGCAGACGCTCCGTTAGCCGAGTGCTTCATATCTATATTATCTGAATGTAAGTGGAATCTGTGGAGAGAGAAACGTGAATTTAAACATTTCAGGAAACACAGGAATGAAAGTGACTTGGATGAAAAAGAAAAGGCAAATAATCGAGCTGAAGGATGAAGCCATTTGTAGGAAAACCTATGAGTGGAGTGTTTGAGGTGTCAGGGGTTCAGGTTTGAGTGTGTGGTGCACAGAGCTGTATGTATGTTTGATGAAATGAAAAGATGAGCAGAATAAAATACTTTGAAGAAACGTAATTCTTTGGTTTTGTTCCCATGTAGCTACTCTGTTCACCCATCAATGAAAGGTTTTGTTTTAATAAACTTCTACACAAACAAACTTTACATATTCATATAAAAAAACTTCATCAATTCAAAAAGCTCCAGAATTTTTTTAAACTTCCTCTTTTGTTCTGATCGACTCAGTACGAAACGTTTCCAAGTTATCTTTGTCTTTCACGCCGTTTGTTCTTCCATTTAGAGGAAGTTTTGTCGTCACTTTATTATCCGCTGTGCAACATTTGGTGTTTTTTCTGGCTGTTCATGTTAGTGAACAGAGGAGGTGGGCTACAACACCTGCTATCATCATCCACAGAGCCTTTTACAGATGAAAGTCACATCCTGACACCCTGATCTACACGATGACAGCAGCTGTGAGGATGTCCAAGGTCACAACCTCACCAGAAAATACCTGGTTTCTCCTTCAGGTTTTAGATCTGAAGAAGTGTTTTGGATGAGAGGACTGCTTTTGATATAATTTGCTTACACAAGTCTGATCTCAGTGGATTAACTGGGCAGAAATTACATGTATTCAAATTAAACACTAATCAGTTGTACTGTTAGTCTGAAATGTGTATAGAGAAGCACACGCTTAAAAAAGAAATGCTTTGTATTCAGATTAGACGTTTCACTCCTTCAGAGACATCGCAGTTTGTCTTTACAAGCCCAAAGTTCAAAAGCGGGATCCACTCATGACTTGCTCTTTTTCTTGGTGTTTGCCATTGCAGAACTTTTCCATTCAAAAAAAGAAATTAATCAAGTGGAAATTATTCTAATAGCTATGCACTCTATGCACTACAATGCTGTGCAGTGTGCACAAAGTCCAGGGGGGGAAGCACAGAAACCAGTGGAGATGAAGGTAAAAATGAACCATTTTAAAGTTAAGAAATCACGCAATTTTCCTGAAGAGTGACAAAAAAACAGCCACCTGAAAATCTAAACCCAACATTTTCGACTTTAGAAAAATGTGAAAAAAAATCGGAAAATCCAGAAAAAGAGCGCAGTTATGCCGCACAGTGTGAGTAAAAGGAAAAGCAGAAAAATACATTCAAATACTCACATAAAGACGCCGAGGACAGAAAACACCGGATAACTCGCTGCAGTCAAACCAAACAGAAGCAGCAGGAAACAGTTACCCCACCTGTACGTCTGATTAACGGAGGGGGCGTTTGATTTTCACCTCACTTTGCTCAGTATTGGTCAGGTGACAACCCACGCTACCTTCAGCTAACATACCACAGACATGAAAACTTTACTGTTTTGCACACAGCTTGAATTCTGTAAAACATTTAATTCTTCAAATATATTTGTACAAAGGGAACATAACTGTGTTTCAGTCAGTGTAGAAGGAACCTAACACCGCTCCAATCTGTGGTGACATGCAAATGAGTTGCCAATTTATGAAAAAACTATTTACAAAATGCTTAAATTTTGTCAACACAAACTCATGAGGGAAAAACAACACGAGAAAGGCTAAAATTGTGGTAAAAAAAAAAAATCTGGGAAGAGAATGTGGCAACTTCAAAAAGTACAAAGAAGAAGAAATCCAGAAAAAATAACAATAACGTGTATTAATTTAAAAAAAAAAACTCAAAGTCAAAAATTCATAAGAAAAGTTGTGGGCTTATGAAAAAAGTCACAAAATAACAAAAAAATAATTATTGTAACATAAAGAGAGAAAGAGAAAGAAATTTTTAAAGAAAATTTTAAATATATGAAATAAGCTGTAATTTACACACACAAATAATTTTTTTATGCATGAGAAAAAATGTTCTTAGAATCTTCCCAGCCTGATCAAACATGAAATATCAGGTATTTTATATCCTGAGTATTTATTGCCACCACACAAAGTGTGTTAATCAGAGTCAAATTCAGCGCCGAGTTTTTACTGAAAAAACATGAATTAGGATTTGTTGGAGTGGAGGTGGACCTGATGGACCGCAGGCTGATGATGTGACGTTTAAATTTACTCCTGAAAAAGTCAAATTAAAATAATAACAATAATAAAAATCCAGAAATGCATGTTTCAAATGCTCAAACGTAACCCATGATGTCAGGTTTGTGTTGGGATTAACTGAGAGACAGAGGAAGCGGGCATGCGTGCGTGTGCGCGCATAGGGGCGGGACTTGTGTCTGACGCGAAAGGTTTTTTCGGTCTGTGCGCAGCTGCTTCAGTTGTAGTTTTTCTACGTGTTTTAAGAGAAAAAGTGAATGAAGACATCAGACAGAGAACAGAAGTCCTCCTCCTCGGTTTAGGTCCAGCCTCACCCTCTCTCAGATCATCTCCATCATCCTCCAGCTCAGATGTGAGTACTCCGACTCATTTTTATTTATTTCAGGCTTTTTAAAACCTCTAAAATCTTTCAATCCATGTCTGCTTTTAAAAAAACAAAAAACAAAGTGTAGTTAACAGACTAAAGAGATTCCTCATTAAATTCCGTGGTGGGTACAGCTACAGCACAATTCAAACTCCTTTTTTCTTATTAATTTAATTTTTAAAATCAATTTTTATCTCTAAATTTATGGATCAAAAGCGAAACTTGTCTGGAAATGTCAGTGCTGAGACTGCAGAAGTACGACCGTGACTCACCGGGTGACTCACCTACAAAACTATCATCAAACAGTGTGATCGGCTGAGCTGTGATGCTTTAATTTCCTGTCACACACACACACACACACACACACACACACACACACAGAATAACGAAGCTACAAACACCTGGGAGTTTTTAGAGAGAAGAGAACCCACTGTGGGAATGTTTTTGGTGTGTTTTGTCCCGCGGGGGGAGGGGAGTGATTACTTAGTGCATGTTGATCTCCATCAGTCAGTCAGACTCCTGCTGCTGCTGCTGCTGCTGCACTAATCTTTCTCCATTTTGCGGGTGGAAAACAAGCCTGCTGGCAGTAACACTGTGTGTGTGTGTGTGTGTGTGTGTGTGTGTGTGTGTGTGTGTGTGTGTGTGTGTGTGTGTGTGT